ATTCATCAAAGAATTTGAACCATTTTGAGCAGTCTTTTAGATTGTTTCAGATATTCTTTGGGTTTTTAATTTAACAAAAAATGCTTCAAACACTAGCTGTGTTATTAAGTAATGATTCAGGGGTGATATTGTGAGGAAAAAAAAGATGCTAGTCACTGTTAACCCTATAACTCCCAAGATCTGATTGTTAATTCTCCCCTGTAGCTGCTAAACATTTCCTTGTAAATTAGTTATGAGAACTTAGTGCCAGATCAAGATAGCAGCTTCTACCTGTTAAGATTGAATATTCTCAATACCTGTTTGCTGAATAATGTATAGATATTATAGGGAGAAGTTTCGTGTTAATCACTTCTGGGAATTAAAGGTTTAAGGGTTCAAGAGTTGAAGGATTGATAACACTTTATGTCACACAATGAAACTTGACCAACCAGAATACTGTGAAGATTTTTCAGCAGTTTATGAAGTATCCCTTCATCATCATGAACAGCCCAGCTTCTTTGCTGCGAGTCTTCCTTGTGTTCTGTCAGCTCATCAAGAATTGTGATAAGTTGCTGGCCATCATTGGACTGAAGAAGAGCCTCCTCATCTTCAGTGCGAGACTCCTGGTCAAGCCAATAAGGCAAAAGGATTTATAATTTAGTTCAAGCAGATGCTGTTATTTTATAAGTCTTCCTTTAGTTAAGTATAAGAAATTTCATGAACACAAATAAGAGGTCTCATTGGGGTTAACTGTTAAGCATAAAAGGGTAAATAAATAAGATATTAGGTGGTCAAGCCAATAAGATGAAAGGAAATAATTTAATTTTTCCATTTCACCCCTTAACTCATGGGAGTTAAGGGGTAAAATGGACAAATAACAAGAGATAGTTTTAAAAGGTCACTTAATTGTAAAAGTCAAAATCATTAAGTCTTTACAAGAGACCAAATATCCCAAAATGTAGGAGCAATTCAGACAAGGTTTTTTGTTTATTGTATTCTGAGGAAAATCCAGCACAGCCTGCAAATAAGGAGTAAACTCTGCTTTCCTAAAGAAACAAGGGATGGGCTCACTATGTGTTTCTAAACTAATCTTGCTGCATAGGCTCAGATATCTATTAGGATAATTAAGTATTATCAACTGAGTTGATAACGTAAATTGTCCACTGTAAAGAGTTTCAAAGCTGACATTTCGAGCATTGGGCCTTTGTCAGAGCTCAAACCGTCAGCTTTGATACTCTTTACAGCGGCTAATAATATTGACATTATCAACTCAGTTGATCATACTAAATTACCCTGTTCTACTCTACTACCGATGAAACACCACAGTTTCTTTCATTGTCATCCACACATTTCTAGGATCATCCTTGGAATTCACGTTCACATTGCAGTGAATAATGCCATTATGGTGCTTCTTCACATAAATACCATTTAGTGTCTCAACTAAGCATAACTTTGTAACCAGCCTGGGCCACAAAGTTTCATTTTACTGACCTTCTGATGTTCAAGATCTTGAATCAGTTGTGCCATAACATTGGAAGTTGATGGTACAGAGTAATGAATGTGTGATAAGACTGTATGGACAGCCACAGAAGACTTGTCATAACTCAACCCAGTGCTGCAAACAGTGATTAGATAAATTCAATCCCATTAAACATTTTAATCGACTAATCACACCATGGGAAAGCAGCAATCTTACCAACCACACCCAATGGTATCAACCACTGCTTAGGACTCAAGCAAGCAGAGATAACAAAGACTTCATTTACTATTTTACTTCTTGTTTTCTCTGATTGGATTGATCAGTTTTGTGTTATTGACCCTTGAAACAGAAGTTAAACCTTCATTTATTTTCTTACTTCATTCTAAGAAGTTCTAACAACTCTGCAGCAATTCCAGGTCGTATTGTGACAGACTCAAGATCAGGTCTTTCAGGGATAGCTGGAGGTGGAGTAGATTCCCTCGCTTTTGCAGGCACTTGGTCTAAAAAAACATGATACACAAAAAAATTTGAACACAAAATCTGAGTAAATTTTTAGTCACAAGCATGTGCATAACATATTCGTTATCTCCAACCTGCAATAGGAATACTCCCATTAAACTTTTGACCCCTAAAGGTCACTAGGATTGAAACTCTCCTTACAACAAACATTGCGGCCACAAGAATAACAGAAATGATAACTAACCAAAGAAACTCTTGATTGTTAAACAACATGTAGCAAATGTATAGAGGGCACTAAAGAGAACATGAATAGTGATCTCAGGGTGTAAGTGATAAGTGTTTTTACCAAGTTGATGAGCTGGTAAAGTCTCCAAGGTTATTGTGCAAAAATGTATAACAAACAGACAGAAGTCATAGTTTGATCATAGACCTCCAAACCTTTCACTGCAGTATCCCATGTTGAAGCAGAAGTGGTTGGAGCTGCAGGAGCTGGCCTTCTCTTTGTTGTTTCCTTCTTCTTTTTATTCTTATCCTTGCCAGATGGAGGTGCTGGAGCAGGGCGTCGTGGCTGTGCTGGTAGACCAGCCTTGTCTCTTGAATTAATTCGATTTCGGTGCTCAAGTAATTTTCTTAAAAAGGAGTACATTGTTTCAATTAGTTTAAACTTTTTTCCCACAAAATCTTGTGCAGCCAATGTACCTATAAGATTAATTTTATTTAGTAAATAAACCCCTTCAGGTGGTTAGTATGTCAGTTGATAGTGTCTGCCACTGAGAGATTGTTGGAAAAATGAATATTTAGCCTTCAAAAGCAAATGTGAAATTCTGGGGACAGTTTCTCAGCCATGGTCATTATCAGGAAATGCAATTCAGCAATCCAGAAAGGGGTTTATTCATTTCATAACCCACCATTATTTATTCATGTTGCACAAATTATTTCGCTGAATTTATGTACTTTCTAAAACACCCATCTGATCAATATCCCAATTGCTGGGCTCTACAGATTTAAATAAGCTTGTTTTTCTTTCACCTAAAATATCAAAGACAAAAAGTGAAAGTCTTGAGCTTATTTTTCTTACAGGCTTTTTTTTCTTTTTGATGGAAATAAACAGGGGGCAAGTATTGAAGCATCCTGTGATTTTGCACTATGTGACATAAATTAGCTGATAAAATTGCAGTACATTTGATGGATGGGTTATAATTCCTAAACCCTTTGACTCCCATGAGTGACCAAGACAGAATTTCTCCTTACAATACCAATTTGATATCAACCAAATAAGTAATGAGAATAAAGAAAAATATCAATTTGGGGATAATTAGATGATCCAATATTAAATTCTCGGAACTAACATTATAAGAATTGTATGGTTGACAGTAAGGAGAATTACAAATTTGATCTGGGAGTTACAGGGTTAACAACTTGGTGGACAGAGGTACTGTAAGAATAACCTTCTTAGTCATATTACTTAGGTATTTAAGAAAACCAAAACAGTGACAACAATGAGAATGTGGTGAAGAAAAAAAAATGTAATCAGCAGCAGAATAAACATGTGCATTTTAAAACTCTGCATAATTCCTAGCCATCCTAGGAAAGACAATATTTAAAAATCATCACAACTTTTGCATGGTCTGAAAACCACACGACAAATGCTTTTAGTAGATTGGAAAGCTTTAGACTGAAAATTCGGTTTGATTCTTTTTGTCCATGATATGATTACTGGATACTCTACAAAAAATAGGGAAATCAATTCAAATAAGCTCTTGAACAGAGAAATAGAGAAACCTGGATTAAAATTCAACCCTGGGTTAGCACTAATCAGCCTTCCAACAACTGGGCTGTAGGTGGTGAGAGGAAAGTGACAGTAAAGTATCTCTTGGCTGAGAACATAATGCAACAACCCAACAGGTCTTGAACGTGGACCTCTCCACAAAGAGTCCAGTATATTAACTGTTGTATTACTGAGTCCCCAATGACATCTCAAAATCCCTAATAGTATTATCAATTCTCACCTTAAATTAGCTCTTTGCTCACGAGTATAAAAACCACCAGAAGCTGCCACTTGTGCATGGATGGCTTCTATAGCTCTGTCTACTGACTCTAACACTGCTTGTCTTTCACCTGGGTCAGCCTTAAGACAGCAGACAAAGTAAGTGTGCTAATTGTGTAGTCTTCAAGGCCATATCAAGATGATTTTGATTACAGATGTAATGACACAACCAACAGAGTTTCTTCTCTGGAGCCCCTTACTCTCTACAGCTTTCCCCCAGCATATTTAGAGGGTACCAAATAGTGATCCTGATCTTGTTTCATGCATGAATTTAAGAGAGATTCATGTATCATGTGTACTTTAAACAGTATTTCAAGCATCGAAAATTTAAAACTCCAAATCTCACATTACTATGCCTTTCTATAAAAGTTTAAAGTTCAAACTATGTGCCTATCTCAGTTTCACTCCACTTAGAAAAAATATTAAGCCCCTTTCTTTGCTATGACCTTGGTCTGATTGTCCAGTTGTGAGAAGTTCTGAAAAGAACTGTATCCCATTGAGATAACTGGCCTTTCATAAACCTGTGTGCAAGCCACTGTTGTCATCAACTTTGGTTGTCTAAAAATAACATCAATTACTGATAACAGTGTTTTTCAGGACTTCTCTCATGACCAATGCAAATTTGCGAGCCAATGCCCTCTTTGGATGCCGAGTCAAACATAGACACTGTGGGTTAGCGTACTTACTGATTGCAAGGCTTTCATTAACAACTTATGTGGTAGGAGAGTATTGTAAAGTACGAGAAAAATATTTACTTCGCCTAAACAAAAATTAGCTCTGCAGCCCATCAACATTTCGCCGGTAAATCAATTCTGCAAAGAGGCCGGAAAATTCAACAAGCTACGATACTTAATAAGCACCCTTTAAATTCATGCGACTTCTTAAATTAACTCTGACTATTTCCCTCACCGTTTCATTATCGACAGGTTCCAGGTAACAGGCAGGAACGAGTCCGACTGAACTATCTCGTGCGCGCATCCGCCACCAGTGCTCATCATGTTGTTCAATAAATTCAAATATATCCCCAGCATGGATGGGGAGAACCCCCTTATCTTTGCTTGTCAAATGATATATAGACCTGTACATGAGATAATCTTATAAATAGCGTAATTTAAAAACGAAAATTCATTTTCTTATGAAATGTAACGCAGAATATTATAGCGCAGAGGGCAGCCATTTTGAAATATTCCGAAAAGTCACGTTACCCATATAATTGCGTGAGCGAATGGGACAAAAAGTTCTCGTGGGTGGGGTAGGTGAGTTATTGTTGCGACTTAGTCGACACCATACAAATGAATAATGCTTCTCGCACGCTCTGATTGGGTAGCTCAAAAGTGATTGACAATAACTTTTCATTAAAAAGTTAAAATTACCAATCGTAATGAAAGAAGTAAACCAGCCATTAGCAAACAAATTGTAGTTTTAAGATTTGTTATAATGTCCTAAAAACAATTGAAATTGTTTTGAGGTTTTCCAAGTTTCACAGTAAGAAAACTTCCACAGGATGAAGGAATGATGATAATATTAATGAAGCATTTATATAAGGTATTCTCAATATTAATATCCTCAAATGTACTTTACATCACTTTGTAGGGAACTTTGGTCAGTTAACAATTTTTTTAAAATGAAATTTTGCAAGTGCCCCCAAGTTTTGGAATCTTGAGAACAAGGCCAGATTACAACACCAAGAACTACACTCCCTGCTCTATGCAGGTTGTGCATGGATTCTTTGACATTCCCTACTGACCAGTACATAGAAAATGCAGGAGTCAGGGCCTACAGGTTATGGTCCTTATCCAAGAAGACTAGAATGTCTAACTATTTGCCATGATCATAACAAATGCAGCACACTGTCATCAGTTATTTTAAGACTCCGAGTGTTGATCTGGTCAAGGACACAAACCCTTGATCTCTAGCACAGCAATCTGGCACCCTACAACCTGAATTAACCAGATGGCAGTAAGGAACCAGTGAATAGCTTTTTTCCTCTGTCTTGACTACAATAGTTGAGGGATAACAGCATAGCTAAAGCAAGGACACAGCCACAATTCTACAGAGAGAGATCATGACATATCCAAAATATTAAGAATTTATTTTCCACATTCCTATAGTCATCAATGAAATAATTTACAAGCTAGACAGTTTTTAGACTGATTTTTCTTTCTAACTGGACTGAGGCACAGTTACCAAATGAATATGAGCACAGTAGCCCTTTGGCCCTACAGAGAGACTAGCATCTAATTTCTCCTCACAATATCACACCTGAATCAAACATAACAGTCATGAGAATAACAGAAATGATCACCAACAAAAGAAGCTGTTGATTGTTGCACAAATTCTCCTTGTCAGTAACATAGGAAATGTGTAGGAGGTAGTATGGAGTAAATACATATTGATGCAAGAGTATAAAGGGTCAACAAGGGAAAGTTATTTAACATGTTTCATATGGTTAAAGTTTCCAGAAGTTGAAATCCTAATAAATTTCTAGCTAAATGTAGGAATTTTTTATTTCTTTCTGCTGATATCTTCAGTCAAACTTGAATCCTTTTTTTGACAAGTCCTGTCTTGCATCATTTATCTCCTGTAAAAAGTTAAAGCAAAGGGATTGTAACCAAGTTTGAAGTCAGTAAGAAAAAACCCACAACCAAACTTGAGAATACATTTGGCAAATTTTTGGAGTAAATCCTTTTCTCCAACATATAAAGATATATCCTTTGTTAAAAAAAAAGCTTCTAATGTCTAAATGGCGAATGTCCAGCCATATCGACTTTGTAGAAGGTCAACAATGCACATTCCCACCATACAATATTGAAGGAACAGGTCTCCTTGGTTACAAAAGCAACTTGGTAAAAATTCAAAACCAGAACCTTGCAAATAGGGCAGAAACTTGGAAAATAGTACAATTCGAGCTCCTTACCTGTTTTAAAGATTCAGAGGCTTCTACACAATCATTGAAAGTTGCTACTCGATATCCAATAGTTGCCAAAGAATAACACTGAAGGGAAAAACAAGAACTCAAATCAATAAAACTGTAACAGGAAAAAATATATATAATTCTAACATAACCTACGTACAAATATAAACTCGATAAGAAGCGCATAACATATTAACTCACCCCAAATACAATTAGAGCATAAATTGGCATCTGCAAAGGATAAACAAAAGCAAATATGAGAAAAATATGTTCGCTGTTTGCCACAATTCAAAGGTCTTGGTTCATTGATTGAAAACCCGATACTCTTTCGTAAAATGTTCCCGTGATTACCGGCCATATTACTTCCTTGGCTTTGTAGGATACTTTAAGAGGTAGGATATCTGTTAATGGGGTAATCCAGAGCGAAAGGGCTACTCCAGCAATGATGATCCATTCTGTCAATTTAGTCATGTTTTCGGATGCCACAAGTTACTCTTCAAGCAGACAGAAAGTAGCGGTCAGTGGTCTTAGCCATGGACTACATAATTGTTGTGTAAGCTTCCAGTTTTCTCCTTCTTTCTCAATAAGTCTATCACTTTTCGTCAAAAAAGAAAATTGATTGACTGGCTGGTAATTGTTTTGGTTTTAGAGATGCATGTGTTATTCTGCAAAATCCCTTCGTTTCTTTCCAAAAGAGAAGTGTTTAATTCCTTACTTTGCGGAGCAACACTGAAGAATGATTACAAACCTTAAAATGTGATTTGTGTAAAAATTATATCAAAGATCTACCTACAATCACCCTGCTTCAATCAAAAACGATAAATGAGTTTTTACTTTAGGATATCTGTAAAGCAGATCATTGCATGGGATGCCTGTGACCCATGTAGTTGATTTTTCAAAGTGGGTCACAAATTGCAAAATCCACCAACTGGATCTCAAAAAGTATGGTCAAACGATTGAGTATAACATGCTCAGCTGTGATTAATTTGCGTGTGTGTGTTTGGTGGTTATCATTTGCCCATCCGTTGATAGTGCCTGGTGTTATCTGTAGACAAATGTACGCATTGCATACCTATTTTTAATATATATTTATATATATATATATATATATATATATTTTTTTTTTTTTTTCCCATGGTTGTTTCAAATTGCAAAATCCACTAAATGCATCTCAAAGATCAGGGTCAAACAGTGGAATACTACATGCTCAGCTGTGATTGGCTTGTGCACAGACTGGACGATCGGCAGTCCCTCCTATTGGGAAAATTTAATCCCATGAGTTAACCCTTTCCCTCCCAGGTCAAATTTATAGTTCTTCTTACTGTCAACCATACAATTCTTATAATATTAGTTCAGAGAATTTAGTATTGGATCAACTACTTATCCCCAAATTTATATTTGTCTTTATTCTAATCACTTATCTAGTTGATATTGTATTGATATCGTAAGGAGAAATTCTGTGTTGGTCACTCATGGGAGTTAAAGAGTTAAAAATGAAAAAAAAAAATCAGTGAAAAAAAAATTGATGTTAGCATGTAGCAAGGAACTACACCTTATGTGGGCCTTACCCCATGAATCCCGCATGGGGTGCTAACATCAACCTGTTTTTTTGGGCTGATTTTTTCTTACTTATGTCAGACTTTACTGAAAGGGAGGACTGCTTGTAGTCTAAACACAAACTTTTATGCTTGTCTCACACTCAGAGATAGCAGACTTAAAAAATAATTAGTCAAGCAGAGGTCTCCCCAAAATTGTTATATATTGGCACAAAAAATATACCTATGAAGTAACTGATTGTCACTGATAGGTAAAGTATATTCAATCATGCAACAAAAAATCTTTGATCTGTTCTTTCATCTGGGCTCTGTGATGAGATTTCTTAGCAGCATCTATAACAAATGAGGGAAAATCACTCGGATTAAACTTGACATTTTTAAATGTTAATCGGCAACCATAACATAAAGCTTCATGAATATTGTCTCTAGTTAGTGGCTGTTCAGCTAAAGAATTTGAACATCCACTTTCACAGCTTCCACAAGATTCAGTCACAGACTTAGGAGTAGTTTTGTTGTCTACATTGAGCTCCACTGCACTCAGACCATCAGTTAGGGTGGAAAGCAGAGTTGGATCCACATTGAGTGGAATGCCACAAAGAGCACAAGAAGCGACATCATCAGGGGATTCCTTCACAGATAGCTTATCACCAGTTCTAAAAATTGTGCTGACAGTAAAGGGAAGATCAGCTTGAAGACCACTAACAAATTCTTCTGTTAAACGATCAATGCTGACGTGTGAATGGCTCATGGTGGACAGTGTTGGTATAACAACAGCTCGGACATTGTTAAAGAAATTATACAGAGCTATCTCCTTAGTCACAAATTCTCGCATTGGTCTGACAAATATGACATCGTCATGACGATCATCACTAAAGCCAGTGTCAAATGGCAAATCTCCACCCCTCCCTTGAGATACATTGGATAGTAGTCTCACTGACAGTCTGGAGGCACAGTCTGCAACCATTACTTTTGAATATCCTTCTTTCCTGGCCACTGTAAGCAACAGTTGGTTACGGAGTATCTTCAGCAAGTCTTCTTTTTCTGTCACTGATGGCATTGCGTCAAACAGGCTTTTTAATTTTTCACCTTTTTCTGACGTTTCAGACTTCTTGCAACAACTGGCATCATCTTGTGCAGATCGGGAGAAAATGTCCTCCAACTTCACCAGATGAAATGGAAACTCTGCTCTTGAAACTATGCCTCGAATCTGTTCGATATAACTAGAACGCTCCTCTTCACTTTGCTTCAGCACTTCTCCTTCATCGATGAAAGTGATCCCTGGTTCGAATCGAAGTTTTTTGTGAGCCGCACCACTCAAACCTTCACAAACTAAATGCAACATTGCAGACGAAGACAGACGTCCAGAATATGCCAATAAAATCCTTTCTCCTGCCCGTATCACACGCGCTTTTCCGATTGTTGCACGGAATTTGTGCGTAAAATACGCCAGAAAACAGGACTTGCACAAAGGATCGTTGAGGCGAACAACCACAACTGCAAGGCTTGAAGCGCACTTCATGCACGTTCTTCTACCGCCAAATTCTTCTTTAGATTGCTTTCCCTGCAGCTGAGATGGGACATTCTCTAAATCTTCTTCTTGAACACTGCACATTTTGTTTAGAAAGATCTTTGCGAGACAAGAATATACAAATTTTTACGAAAATCAGCCTCGTGGAACCTTGTTCGGTCTTAGTCAGCCATGTTGATTA